ATTAAACACTCTACACTATTTCTACCATATCCGGCCAAATGAATGGACTTCTTATAATTAGCAGAATATGTAAGAATAATAATTGTCACTTTTTCTTGCACGAAATCTAAAATTTTAGGTACTTTCTTGAAAAAAAGACCTTTGCGGTATAGGATTACTTAAAATCAATTACTTAAAATCAAATTCATTTGCAAGAAGCACTATTATTCTTTCATTAGTTTTTTTTGTTTAAATGCCAATAGAAAGGCATATATTTGTTACGCCGTATATAAGGCGTATATTTGTTAGATTTTAGATATGATTTTCATTAATCCGTATTACTTGTTAATTTATTATAGATTAAGTTTTGTTTTTCTCAATTCACACGATTTACGAAAGCAAGTAAGAAATATTCTGTACAATTATGTTTCAAGTGTTAGCAATATTGGAGCGATGTTCGGGCCGATTACTTACCATCTATTCGGGGTGCAAAAGCAAACAGCTCTCCCTATGGGGATAATGGATTTTTCTTAGCTTGCAACAGAGTATAATACATATAAATTAAACTATTAAACTAAACCAAAATAAAATATTCAATAATTAAGAATGCACATTTTGAAACCACGGATCCAATTAAAGAGGAGCATGAGAAACCTGTTTTACTTAGTGAGTTAATCGATATTGTGATTNCGTGTAGTAAATGGTGACTGATGCACGTTAAATCTGTCGAGTCTCAAAGTCCTCCATGTTCCCACAACAAATCAATACCTCTGGGGGTACTGATCCAGGAGTTTCCTTGTCTTCTGGATTGGTTCAAAATTACAAGGCTATGGAGTTGAACGTAAGTAGTCGTAAACCCATGAAATTGGGTCGGCTGTTCAACGACGGTTATAAAATAAAATATACTTAACGGAAGAGCCGTGAAAGATCAGAGTAACCGGGTTCAAGGCGAACCGGGTTCGAGTCCCAGTCAATATGAATTCCGCGTAAGGCTCGCACCGACCACAGTGCTGACGTGAAATATTTTCAGTGGTAGACGGATCATGGGTTAGAGTCCCCTTGCCGTCAGGCTAACCATGGTAGGTTCTCGTGATCTTCCTCTCCACGTAACGCAAATGTGGAGTTAGTTCCATCAAAAAGTTCTCCACGAAGGCAAATTTCTCCCAATACTTGATCTAGGAGTTCCTTTGTCTTCTCGATTGGGTTCAAAATTAGAAGGCTAAGGAGTTGAACATTAGTAGTCGTAAACCCATAAAATTGGATCGGCTGTTCAACGATGGTAATAAAATATAAAAATATATTTAACAGAGTCGAGGATCGAAATTCTCAGTTCGATTCTCTAACCACAGGGATACCAGTTAGCTACCACTGCCCAACTTAAAAGAAAGGTTATCAACTATTAACTATACATTTTGTACTCTTGAAAATACCAAATACTTTAGTAAAATATCCGAATTTTCCCACATTTTCTACCAAATAGCATAATAATAATCATCAACACGCGAAGTTGAAAATTATTGCTTTTTTTAATATTATTATAGAGTCAGAAAACATGAAAAATTTTCTCGTATTCTCATAGTTTTTATCATACATTTCTTCTCAGTTTATAGTTAAAAATTCTATTTTAGAATTGAATGTTAATATTATTTTTCATCCAATCGTGATATCTATTTCATATAAAAACCTTATCTTTGCAGCTGAAAACAATCTCTTTGGCAATGTAAGATCGTGATCTTAGCACAGCTAAAAAAATTTAAATCGGATATAAGAATTAGTTCCTCTCCTGATCACACAATCAATATCTGATAACCCCTCGCTTGCATTTCTTAAATATAAAGGTAAATATGGATGAATAAAGCTGATCTGTTATAAAAACTCGATTTTTCTCATCGATTTAATTAAGATAAAATTTAAAACTTCAGTATGAAAGCACCACAGGTTGTAGCTTTGATTTTTGCTTTTTTCTTTCTCCAGACAGGTATGACAATAATCTGTATATCACTGCGTCGATATTATATTGTTATTTATATGTAATAAATATAATATGATTTTAAATGATCAAGTATTTTTAAAATTAACAAATTCTAATTAAGTTATTGCAACTTAAATTAAAAATTATATCGAAAATATTCTTAGTTTCAATATTCATCATTCATGATAAAATGAATAAATGTTCGTCTTAACAAATTACTGTTTTTTGGTAAACGTTTCTTTCTTTTTTCGCTAAGATTAAGAAATATTTTTTTACATAAAACAGTGCATCAGAAAAAAATCTAAAACATCTTCCTGAGAAGCTAGTTTTCTATAAATTATTTCTGAGATACTGATAATAATAAAATGAAGACAACTGAGTTATGTATGCCTTTAAATTCCTTTAAGTAATTATGAGAGAAATTGAGCTCAAGTAGCCAGTTAAGCCATTCACGAGGGCAAATTCATCAATCATGCAACTATTGATGCTTTTGTTAATAAAAGTTGCAGTCACAATTTTTCAGGCACATAATATTATTGCAGTTTGAAAGGTAAGTTAAGTTAAAAAGTATGCAAATCTTTGTAGTATATGTAAGCATGTTAAGTCCGCTTAAATCTTTAGTTTTTGAATTAGGCCAATTTGCAAACTTAAGTCATTATGAGATACTTCTCAAGGCTTGTTTTGCGAAACCGGCCATGTATGTTTTTTATTGAAATTTGATCACTGACCACCACACTGGTGAAGAACTTATCACTGACCTACTCGATGACCATCGTGATTTTTCTTTTCAGACACGTCTGTTTAACACTAAACATATTGATTAAAACGCTCCACACTATTTCTACCATATCCGGTCAAATGAATGGACTTCTTATAATTAACGGAATATGTAAGAATTATAATTGTCACTTTTTCTTGCACGAAATCTAAAATTTTAGGTACTTTCTTGAAAAAAAGACCTTTGCGGTATAGGATTACTTAAAATCAATCACTTAAAATCAAATTCATTTGCAAGAAGCACTATTATTCTTTCATTAGTTTTTTTTGTTTAAATGCCAATAGAAAGGCATATATTTGTTACGCCGTATATAAGGCGTATATTTGTTAGATTTTAGATATGATTTTCATTAATCCGTATTACTTGTTAATTTATTATAGATTAAGTTTTGTTTTTCTCAATTCACACGATTTAAGAAAGCAAGTAAGAAATATTCTGTACAATTATGTTTCAAGTGTTAGCAATGTTGGAGCGATGTTCGGGCCGATTACTTACCATCTATTCGGGGTGCAAAAGCAAACAGCTCTCCCTATGGGGATAATGGATTTTTCTTAGCTTGCAACAGAGTATAATACATATAAATTAAACTATTAAACTAAACCAAAATAAAATATTCAATAATTAAGAATGCACATTTTGAAACCACGGATCCAATTAAAGAGGAACATGAGAAACCTGTTTTACTTAGTGAGTTAATCGATATTGTGATTAGTAAATAGAAATACATTCATTTTTATTTTGTTATGCATGTTTTAAACTAAACTGAAAATAATTTGTTTTCAAAAACCACAGATCCAACCAAGAACCACTGAGACAATTGATCCAATCAAGAACCACTGAGACCACTGATCCAATTGAATTATATTACCGCGATACATACAAAAAAAAATTCTAATTCTTTAAGTAAATGCATGAATCTTATAATAATGATTTTTTCTACGTGTTTAAAAAATTATGCTTAAAATTGTAAATAAAATAATTTAAGAATTGAAAAATAGCTAAAACTTAACACCTCATTTTATTTCATACATCCATATAAAAAATATTTTACAAAGAAAAGCAGAAATTTATGTTTTAATATATTTTTTAAATTTTAATGTTTTTGAATAGAATAAAGTTTAAGGGTTTTTTGTTATGAAAAGATTTATTTTTCAGTCACTCATGGAGATGCTAAAGAGGAGATTTTATGTAAGTAGAAATGAATAATTTAACGTATTAAGAGTAATCTATATTTTAATTTTTGCGTAAAGGAAACGCGATATTAAGTAAAATGTTCGTCAGTGATATCTTATTTCATGCATTTAAAAAAAGCGCAGATAAAGTAATCAGAGTGTTATGCCAATTCCAAGCATTGCGAGATTCTAGACAGAGACGTCAAACCATAACCGACACAAAAACACAAACGCAATAGTGCTTTTCCAACTATGATAGTCNTTAATTCTATATACAAACTTTGTATTTCTTACAAAATTGTAGTTATAAGTCATAAACGAAACACATACCATGGGTCTAAAACTTAACATAAGGCAATATATGAAATAAATTGAAAGTAATTTTCTTTTCTTAATGGCGGTCACTTGAGGATTGTCCCCTTGTCCACAGAAATGCAGGAACTGCTACTCTCTTCTCGTTACAAAGTGGGCACCTGTGACGAAGCCACGGCGATGGAGCAGCGTCGCCGACGTCACACAACCACAAACCTGTTTATAGAGTGGGTCACATTCGCACAATCACACACAAAGGAGAGATGACATAGAACACTGAGAGAGAGAAACATCCATGCCCTGAGCAGGATTCGAACCCGCGACCAGCGGCTCCGCAGTCAGGCACGCTAGCCACTCGGCCACCAGGTCAGCATAAAGTAAAAATATAATATTAGAAAGTTTACTGCACATAAATATCACTTCGTTATTTTATTTTAATACAAAAAAAATCAAATGTTAACCATTTTATCGTGAGTGCCGTAGAGCTGGATCAATGTCACCTTAACAAAAGAAAGGCAGAACAGAAAGACAAGTTAAACCCATGTCTTAAGATCGATTCGAACCCGGGATCTTCCTGGTTGGACGCCAACTGCTTGACCGCTTCCTCCAACAACCAGTCGGCTAACATTTAAATTAAATGGTTAAAATTATAATTTGATAATTAGAAAAGATATAAAAACCTAGATTTTTAAAATAAGCTTTATTATTCCTATCAATTTCATATAACACGGAATTTGTCATGTTTTATAAGAAATTTTTCGTAATTCATTATCTTTTTTGATTTTAGCGTTAAGACAAACCGCTATGGCATTAGATCAAATTTGTAAGTGTATTTATTGTTTTTTGCAAATATTGTTAGTTTTTTAAATGCGTAAAAAAATTTACAAATATTAATTACCTTCGTACTTCTTACAAAATGATGTTTATAAATAAAATATTTAAGGTTGCTTTTCGAAGGCTGGTCATATTAAACAAGAATTTTTTATGAATAATAACCTATTTTCACAACTGCTGTGTGTTTTCAATAAATTGACTGTTAGGCCTACTTACATCCAGCTCTTTTTAAGCTTATTCTGAAAATGACGCAAAACGTATACATGGAGAAATCTATTGTGAAATGGAAAGCGTTTGTGGTCCAATTTTTGAATATTTTAAATCTTATAATGCTATATAATCTTGAATCATACGCAATTACAAAAAAAGGAGAATATGTCAATAATATTGATAACTGTCTCTCAGATGGAAAGATGTCGCCTAAAAGCATTTCTTTTCTTCAAAGTTCAATAACTTTTAAAATATTTAAGTTATTTGTTCGCTCTAAAATGTAGACAATTCTTCATGACAAGATATATATAGTATATGTAGAATAGGTATATAAAAATAGTTCTAAATTATAGCTTTATTTCAAATGTAAGGCATTTAAACTGTGGCTCTTTTTCATTCTCCTTGGCGAAAGAGTTTCGAAAAACCATGTTAAAGATATTTTGTAAGAGTAAGTATTCAAATTTTTACGGAACGAGTTCGACAACAATTGATGATAGTGGTAAAAATAATTTCCTTTCCATATTCAAAAAACATAAGCGACGCCTTCACTGTTGCTTAATTTATTTACGCAATTAAGGTCTTACATTTTGTTTTGTTGTCCAAAATCTATTATGTTTATAACCTTTAAATTACAAAAAAAGTTTAGAAAACTATACAGGGATTACAATAACATGAAAAAGAATATTATTCGAATGTTATTTCGAGAATTATAAAGTTGAAGTATTGAAGTTGTAATAAAACATATCATCTGAAGGAATAGAATTGATGAGTGCTTTGACCTCATGAAAGAATTCCATTAATATTTTATACGGTAATATTTGGACGAGGGAAGTAGAGGTACAAGCGGAAGTAAACAGAATTCCTTTTAGTACATATAAGATAAGTGAATAATTTTAACTTTAGTAGAAAAACTGTTTTTTGCCAAGATAAAACAATTCTTGCGAAGCAGTCATCGGGTTTGGTGAGCGGTAGCGCACAGGGGGCTTAACCCCCTAGCATATATATATGTATATATATGTATCAAAATTAATTATGCATATTATGGTTTATTATAGTTGAGCATCTTCGGCTAATGGCCATAGAGGAAAGGCGAATGGCTAAAGAAGTTATGAAAACTCTCTGAAACGGAAATGAAAGTGGATGATTAGTAACAACAAGTGTTCAACAATTTTTAAGGTAAAAAAAAAGTATTTTTATACTATAGGAAAATTTTAGAAACACTTTTAATTCGCCATATAATAATGTTGTAGCATTTCAATCTTACATTAAATGTTTCCAACACTGTAATGTTGGAAACATTTAATTCGGCTATGCCATTGACACGACAGAAAAAAAAATAATGTTCAACACTCTGATTTGCATCACACTTTTTTTTCATAAAAAATAAGCATTTCTCTAGGGAAAATGAGGAATGTCAATCAGCACATAGGCGATGTTGTTTATGCCTTGCACAAAATTAGTTTTTTTTTCCTTTTTTGTATTGAGTAGGGAAAAATAGCTATGTAATAGCTATGCATGTCATATGCTTTTACTAATATATGCCATAGCTTACCTAAAAACAAGTTACGCTGCATTATTGCTTGCACTTGAGAAGATATTAGCAAGTTTGGAGATGATCGAAGAATGAATATGAAAAGGCAACGCCATATTTAGTCCATCATCAATATTGCTTTGGATGAATGAAATTATCGCAACGGTGGCTAAAAACTTATTTAACCCTAGAGAAGAACCAGATGATCAAAACGTCTTAGTGACGGTGTGCATGGAAATTAAAATAATAAAGACTAGTTTTCTTGGAAGATTGCGTCGTTTATGAAATAGCAATATGCTCATCACTTGCCATTAGAAAAAAAAAATTTAAAACTTTGAGAGCCATTCTTATAGGGATAATATTTTAATTATCCATAGTTTACCCTTTTCCTAAAGTTTTATCATTCTACTGTTATACTGTTCGATAAATTGCTGTTTGACTGATACAGTTTGCATAAATTAGGTTTAAGTTGTATTTGTATCCATTTTTGTAAATTTCAATTTATTATCCCTTAAATGTTATGCAGTGAATCTTTTTAAATATAAACGCGTTGTTAATGGAGGTTCTGCCAATGATGGGCGTCGGTACATTTTAATAAGTAGGTTATGGACACATGGATAGTAAAAATAAGTTATAAACAATATTTGAGCTCATCTCTCTCTATATGCCTCTCTGTATGCATGTTCGCTAATAACTCGAGAACGGGAGAACATTGTTGCATCTTGTTTTTTTTTCTTTCTGCAGTTTGCAAATTTTCCTGGGTTTGTTTGTAATTAGTCAACCCTCTTCGACTTCGTGTAGTTTAAAAGCAATATCAACAATACGAAATTTCATTGTTGAAACCCAGTTACAGATTAAGCTTTACTTAGTATCTTCTGAACTGCCTCATCGATTGGCATGGCGTTTCGGCGTTTTTTCTTACAGATTGCAAACATAATTTTTTTATCATTTTGCGATATTTTTCTTCTCTCTATGTTAAGTTGCTCGCATAAAATAATATGAAAGATGAATTTTCATTGCTTCAACATTGCATGGAAAAAAATTATTTTATGTTTCATTACAAAGTGTTTAAAAAAATAAAAGCCCGTAATATTTTGAGAGAAATAAAATATCTAAATAAAACTCGCTAAACTCATAGTTTAAAAGAATTAAAAATACTTGCTAGAAGCAAATATGTAAAATGGCAGAAGTTATCAAAAATTAAAGAAATATTACATTTAATCGTCACAGATACATTTAAACATAGGATGATATGGTTATTCTTATTCGTGGAACTCTCATTTCAATTTCAAAATGCTTTAATATATTAAATGTTTTTTCTTACCAAATATTAGTAATAATAATTATTTTTTGACATCTATTTTAAACTCAATATTTTAATTCTCTAACTGTATATCATTATGCTTCAAATGAAAATATAGTAAAAATAATAAAATTTTCCATATTTTTATTGGTGAGAGGTTGGACAATAGCGATTGCTAGATGCATTAAACACGTTTGCGTACAATATAAAGCGAAACACCCAGGACATAATCTTGATTGTTGGAGGGCATGACCTCAAATATGCTAATTAATTACTGCAAATGGTATACTAATTTGCGAAGTCAGACGAAAACACGTATTTTCTCTTTATAAGCATACCTTTTTATCGACGGATTCGGTTCCTTGATCCTCAAAATATAATCGCAATCTGTAAAATATGGTTTAAATAGTTGTACCTGGAAAGCAGTCGGAAGTTCAGACACTTTAATATTAATTTTGCACTTTTTGCTTAATTTTACTTTTACTCAATGAATTTTCTTTTACTAAGTTATATTAACTATTACTCAATTAAATTAATTTTGCTTTTTGATCAAAAGTAAAAGTAAAAATCAATAGCCTCAAACAGGAAAATATGGTCCCAATACTTCGGTACAAAATTTGGAGAATTTTATGTTAATTTTACTCTTTGTGTATTTCAGCATATCGCATGAACTATTTAAGCGAATTGAAAACTTTTGCATACAATTATTGAATTTGTTTATGTGAAGATAATTCCACGCAAAAAAATGATTTTAATAATTATTTATTATTTTTTAATCTTTCATTCAATAACGGTCAAAAAATTTTAAATCTAAGTTATGAAAATTTTACATTATTTTAAAGAATGTAATTTTACATGACAAAATGCAAAGTAAGAGGGAAATCGGTAAAATAGCTTCTGAAAAATTGAAATTTAAACATCTGACTTTTTTTGAAATTTCGATATTTTGACTTTTTATTGAAATTTCGATATCTCGGGAACTATTTGACCAATTTTACTCAAATTTTGCATTCTGCCAGATAAAATTACAATTTTTGAAATGTGGCAAAAATTTCATATCTTGTAATTCAGTTTTTTTTCGACAGTTATTAAATAAAATACTAAAAAATAATAAAGAATTTTTAAATAATATTTTTTGCATGAAATTTTCCTTGAGCAAACGCATTTTATAACTGTGTGCAAAAATTTTTCAATTCACATAAAAAAATAGTAACTATGGTGAATATTAATTTGCTTTACTGTCCTTTAAAAGCGCCTATGGGCTGATTAGTATATTTTTTTTAATATTAACATATGTTGTTCTGAATTTTTTTTTATCCAAATTTCTATTATATATTTTTTTCTTCTAATCAAAAAAATTCCTCGAAATACCTGGATCTCAAAGTGCAGACATGTAAGAGATAAAAATTAAATCCAGTCTCATTTTAACAATATGTATTTATACCTACATATCGTCTAAATTCCTGACTGTATGATTATACATCTCGAAATGAATGAATTTCTACTAATTTAAAAAATGTAGACCAGCTGGTAGCTGAAATGGTTAGTCAAATAGTTCCTATATTGTAATAAATGCGTGCATGTGTGTGTATAAAAAAAAAACTAGAAAGTTTCTTTGTTTAAAATTCAATTCAAATAAATGACTTATTATTTGACTTAACAACAATGTCCAAATAAGCCAAATATTAATAAAGAATAAAAATATATGCCTTTAAATAGAAACTAATTTTATGTACAATATTTCTTTCTTTTGCTACATAGCTTATTTTGATACATTTTAGCTTTTAAAATCTTAAACTTATTGATCTGTTTTTTTAGATACAACTTATAATAAGCTGAGATTCTGAATGTTTTTAATTTTCTAGCGACTTTTTCAAATTGTATATTATTTGCTTGATTAAAATTTTGTATAAAAATTGCACATTTCCGTCATTGTTACAATATTTAAACTATATATGAAATATTTTTCGAAACTTATTCAAAATTTTGTTTTTGTTTTTAAATTTCGAAAATAACACCAATTTATATGAAGCATAAAGACGTTAAAAATACTTAAACGCTAATTAGCAATCGAAATGGATTTTATAAGTACTGCATAAATACCAATTTTGAATAATTTAATAACTGCTCAATAAAATGCAAAAAATGTGATAGAAATACAAATTACTCTAATGATATTTTGTCTATCTATTTTAGGGTGAAGGGTTCCTTAACCATGAAAAATTTTGAAGCTTATGAAACAATTCTCAAATCCAAGTGTAAATTTTTATCGAAATTAAATAATTTTTGAAACTATTTGTTGTTCTACTCTCTGCTTTATTTGTATATCTATTACAAAAATAATCATCGTCGTTTATTATAAATATAATATTTAATTATCGTTTACAATTATAAACGGTAAGTAAGTTTTATTGATTATTTAGTGAGTTAAATATACAATAATAGCATGTTATAACAATAATTCAATGGCAGATGAACTATGTCACCATAAACAAATACATAAATTTGAAGGTAAAGTAACAAATATGTACACTGTTACAATTTTCATTCTAAATTTACGGTAAAATAACCGCACAGTCTGTCTATATAATTAACACTAAAGTTTACTGTAAAGAATAATTTTTAAATTTGCGGTTTAGAGACCATTTATAACTAGTATGGTTTTAAAACTATGAATACGAAGCTATACAGTTCTTTAACCATTTACAGCTAGAATGGTTTCAAAACCGCGAAAACGGGACGTTGAAGTTAGACTTTTTGTTATGTAATGGGCATTGCAGAGTGCGGGACACTGGAAACTCTTCTTGCGTTAAAGTGAATAGAAAAAATATTGCAGTGCCAATACTTGGACTGGAACCCCTGTTCTGTCGGTCGTGAGACTGACAGATTAGCCCTCTCGGGTATAATATGTACCCAGCTGCATGGAACGAAGTAGGCAACAGAAATGTATGGTATATGGAGATTAATTGTTGGAACGATGTAATCTATTTACGATAATCCTATTGCTTGCTTTAAATTTTTATTCTTTCTCGGTATTTCTGGCCTTATTTCGTTTCTGAATTTAATTTGGGTTCAAATATATTTAGGAAAAAGAAACGCATTCAATATAAATATGAATAAAAAGACTGTAGTATAATGCTATAATCAGTTGATTGATTGTCAGAAAATGCATACATGGCGAGGCGAAAAAATATGAATATTTATAGCTGATTTCTTCTGTGCTTTGAGATCTTATTTTTTGTGCACTTAATTCTATTTTTTAATAAACATAGATCTAGGATGTTCCATAATACGTGCTCTAAAAGCATTCTATAGATTTCTTTTCAAAATTAAAGTAAACAAAATCACACATTGTGGATTGCAAAAAAGAAAAAAAATCCTTTAAACAAACCAAAATCTCTATTGATTATTAAAACAAATTCATGTTTCAATTGAAAATCATGCTGCTTTCAATGCTTTATTTGTCCACTTTATTCAGTAGAAACTTTTCTCATTTTAATAGTTTTTTTTAAAATATTTATCTTATTTAAATATTATTTTTTGTCCACTAAATTTATTTTTGATTAAGATAGAAAAAGCATATATTAAATGTTATGGCTGCAGGAGTGTTATCCTTATGCTAACTATAAAATATTTAGAGCATGTTAATTAATTAAGAGGTATCAAATAATGTTAATTGTATTAGAAAGATATTAGGTATATTAAGATATTAGGAGGTTATAAAGGTATTTAACTAAACATGCTGATAAATTTTCTTATAACATGATACTTTAATGTTTCTGGCAAAGCATAGTATTTAATTTGCGCTATTTCTTGCTGAGTATTTTGAGCATAGAAATGTATTATGACAAGAAACAAATAGGAACATTAAATCGTTGATTGTCACGGAAAACAATAAGTTTTTGAAACTTCTAACGGAAATCGGTACGATATTATATTTCCTACTACTATTGTATTGTCGATAAAATAACAATGAAAAATGTTTTTAGAGGGATGAAATAATGTTTTAAAATAATTGGCAATTTAACCGTTTTTGAATTTTTTAATTCAGATATAAAAATATATATATTGTAATAATCCCGTATAGTTTCTCAGGATTGGGGTGAAATAATTTATTTTAGTTTTTGTCTTAGTAATCAAAAACTAGAGCACTCGTGTCCAAGTGAGGACATATACTTTTGTAATACATTTTGTCAGTATGACTTTAATCATGGTAAAATTGAATATTCGTGATCCTCATTTATAAGGTATAAGAAGATATAAAATAATACCAACCTTTACAGTAATATAATATGCTCTCCCAAATAAATAAATAAAATAGCAGATTTTCGCTTCTTTCTTGAACCGACTTCCAAAAGCATTATATTCTTTTAATTATCCTGAATAGTCTTTCCCCTGGTGTGATTTCCAAGAAATGTTTGAAGTCTTCAAATGATTACGTGCAGATTACAGCACAAATGTGAATCTGTATAGCTTTATGGAACAAAAATTCATGTGTGTTTATGTAAGGCTCACGTGCATAACAGCGTTAAATTATTTCATCGAATTTATATCATTATACTTATCAAATTTTAGCCTATTTTTATTTCATAAAGTATTAAATTATTTTTTGAAATCCTTCTCTTTATTTGAGAAATGAAATAGTTTTTTTTTCAGTTGATGACATAAAATGAACCAATAAAAACCAATAAAATTAAGAAGAAGCCAATAAAATATATTGGTTAATGATGGATTGTATCTGTTTTACTATCAACAAAACAAAAATAAAACACCAAACCATGTTCCTATTATAAGATGATGATTAGCCTTGGTGGCAAAATCGAAAAATAAGCTGGTTTTTGGTTAAGTTGGAAGCCAATAAAATATTCATTATGTATTAGACCATTAAACCATGTTTGTTTTTCTCATATTAGTCCAAAATGATACTGCTTCAACTCCTGACATGACGTGATTGTTTGTCTTGATACAACCATTAAGAAGTAATATGGTATTAGGTGGATTTTTATGGTGGTAACCATCTTGTTTATGTCCCTCACAGAAAATTTTGTCTTGGGTATGAATTTTGGCAAGCGAAAAAAAAACTTCGCGTCTACCTTATTCTTACTTGGTTTTGTAAAAAATAAAGGCACTAAGGCTTTATATAATGCTAGAAAGATCCAAATAACCTAAACTATAGTTACAGACATTTGATTGGTCATAAGAACAGTGTTTGTGAATGGCTAGTACGCTTTTATTACAAAACGCGTCCTTATTCAAAACGATTTGTGTTTGTTTGTTCTTCTAAAATGAGCATAACTTTTTTTGTAATACAGATATTTTAATTCTGTTTTTGTTATTAAATTTTACTTTAAATTACCTTCAAATTGATATGTAAACGCTTGTATTTAAGTGAAAATTAATATATTCTACAAGCATACAAAGTTAAAAAACATGAAANGTATAAACTGTAGAAAACACGAGAAATATATTTGAAAAGTACACCTATGCATAAAGTCTAATACTTTAAAATATTGAATTTTAGCATTTATAAAATTGCATATCATGCGTTTCAAACATTTTTTGCCCTTTAAATTGTAAAATAATAAAACAAATAATGCATAGTAAAATAATAATTAAAATATTATTTTAAATGGTTCACGAAGCAGACAGAAAAGTCTTTGAGAAACAGCAGAAGAAATTTGGCCAAAATTTTTATTGCTGCTTGAAAATTTCCCGAGATATGGAAAAATGGACAAAAAGGGAAAATAACATTAAGAAACCCAAACTTTCAAGCGCATCATATCATACATATAAAATTTAAATTTTGAAGTTACTTTCTTTGCATCTATCTTTGTTCTGTTACCATTATTACCTTATTTTTAGGACCTTATTACCTTATTTTAGAAATTTTACATAATTTTGTTATTTATATCCTGTCTGTAATATAATTTTTTTAAAATTCCAACTTTTTTAATACAATTAGCAATTCTTAAAAGATTTTTTAAGGTTAATATAATGGCTCTTTTAGACATGAATTTCAAAATTTTATTTCAAACTTTTGAAATCAAAATATTAGTTTAAATTCACTTGTTCCATTTTCGGAACATTAGTATTTCAAGGGTTCTATTTCTTCAGATTTCAAGTGACTCATTCAGTTGTGTTTTTTGTACTCCCCCACCCGTCCAGCATTGATATGCGTCTATGCTGGGCTCACGAAAGCTGCTGTGCAGTGGAAAAAGGAAACTTAATTCAAGGGTGAAAAGATGTATTACGGCCCCAGATCAAACTTTATTGTGAGTCTCTTTTTCAAAGTACAAAAAGTATTTAATTTCCGTATTTTAAAATTTTTTAAAGACTATTTATGCAAAATTGTAGTTTTTATATAGATATGAAGAAACCTGCCATTTCCTTTTGTAAAAGCATTGAAAAAGTTTTTGTAGAGAACTTCAGCCCTCCCTGTCGCAGGGACAATTATTAATCTCTTTTCTCTCCTCCCCTTTGACTACATCAAATTTAAATGACATGTATAATTTCTTCAATTGTCAAATGAAATAGAAATGTCAACTCCTTTTTTACTGAAGTTCTAAATTTCCTTAGAGTTAAAATGGTACCAGGTATTACTCTACTAGTGGGATAGGACTGAGATATTTAACTTTTTTTCTAGAAAATATGATTTATAAGAAAAGTAGTACAGTCCACAAAATAGATAATGGACCACCCTCAGAAATTTTTTATCTATTGAAAAAATCCTTACGTTCCAGAACTCATTCTCAATGCTTCGAGAGGGTGACCTCAAATATGCTATTTAATTGGTGAAGACATTTTAAACAACGAAAAGGGACACAAAAACTTTTTTTCTCTGAATAAACATACCTATTTTTGATGGATTCGTATTTCTGACCCCCAAAACATAATGGAGTGGATAGCAGCAATCTGGGAAATATGGTCTCCATAGTTTGGTCAAATTGCGATTCAAAGTTTGGACCCCTTAATGTAAATTTTACTTTTTGCGTATTTCACCATATCTCGAGAAATTTTAAATAGAATTGAAAAATTTTGCATACAATTATAATATTCATGTAGCCAAAGGCAATTAATTCTAAGCAAAAAATTTTAACATTTTAAATTTTAACATTTTTTATTATTTTATTTAAATATTAGTCGAAAAAAATTACAAGGCATACAATTTTCTATATCAATTTAAAGAACATAATTTAACACAAAACTTGAGTGAAATTGGTGGAATAATTCCAGAGAAATCGAATTTTCAGAACACGACTTTTTTGAAATTTTACCATAATTTTAAAATGAAAATTCTATCAGTGTACAAAGAATCCACTACCGGGAATTTTTGATATATTTTTGCTTTTTTTGTTTTTTACTTATTATAAAAGGAGAAATTAATATAGATTTATCAAAAGAGAAAAACAGCTTTTTAATAAAAATAATTGCTATTCCTCACCTATTCCTCACCTATTTGAATACTAAAATATCAAAAAGTAGTTTGACTGCAATGCCTACAAGTTTAATATTAACTCTTGCTTATATTTTCAAAATTAATGTGTTCCATTAACAGAGAAGCAATAAGCTAACTCAAAGGGAAAGTTTCGTATAAAGAAAAAAAATGTTTGATAAAAAACAGATGATACTTCGATCAATTATAAGACTGATAATATTTTTTCGCCAAAAAAGTTTTTCCTAAGTTTACTTGGAAAGAATCGAGAAGATACTCTTGTTTGTGTCACAATTCACGAAGATAGGCAGGTCCTCTAAAAAGTAATGATGGCTGACAATCATTCATTTCTTTCTTCTGCACTAGAAAAAAATGTATTGTTAACCTAACGTAAAATATTCCAAGGTTGCCGAAAATGTGATGATCTATAATGTGCAAAATGTTTAAGTGTGAGATAATTTTAGAAGCTCATTCACACAGATTTTAAATTAGTTTTAAGTTTTAAGACTAAACGTGAATTAATATTTTTCTTCTAAATAAAAGTTTTACCTATATATATATATATACATATATAAGTTCAAAATGAAGAATAAAACAAGGAAAAATAATAGTCTCTTAAATAAAAATTCATCCTTTTTTTTTAAACTGTTGTTTGTTATTATTTTACTTATTATTCCCCCCCCCTTTTTTTTTCCATTTGTCTATTATTTTTCTTTGTTTTCTTCTTCATTTTGAACTTATCTAATGAGTTCTGCTTACTTGCAGCTTAAGCGCAATAAAGGAAACTTATTGTTTTTCTTAACTTTCTTCGTGTTTTCCTGTATTTACTTATTTATTAAATATATATATATNTTTGCAGATGTAATCGTGTGAGCTGGTGAAAAGATATCTTTTTTTTTCTTCGGATTTTTATTAATTATTACTATTCTTTCCTTTTCTCTTTTTGTATTCATTTATTGTGCTATATATATATATATATATATATATATATTGCACAGCTGACAAATTTATATGTCAGCTGTAATTGCGCTGTTTTTATCAGTGCATATAATAGTACAAGTATTATATAGTACTTGTATTATATACGACTTAGAAGCAAACAGCATTGATCAGAATCTCAAATAAGACTGATAAAAAGCGTTAAAAACAAGTCATGACTTTCCTATTAATCTTAATCTTAGGCATTAATCTTAGTGTTAAGCGAAAAAGTGAAACTTCGCTAGTGTTAAGCGAAAACGTGAAACTAGTTTTATTTAAATTAAGAGTGTTACACAACAGCTATCACGGTCAACATATTACGGTAGAAATGGATTTTACGCTAAAAAGTGATGGCACCCTCAGTCTATATGGAATTTTTTTATAGTGTAGGTTTCGTTTAAATGTGTTTATTTAGAAAGATGAAATAATGAAGTAATGAATTGTTTTAGCTTGAAAAAGACATTAAATAAAATAATTCAAATTAAAAATTTTAAAACATATCTATTTCCTTTCATATTTCATTATCAATTCTAGATCAATTTTTTTGTTTTGCAATAACATTTTCTTTTAATGATTAAAGAAATACATGTTAATGATTTATAAGGTAATAATAAATATTTTTAAAGAATCGTTAAGACTTTCAAATTATTATTGAAAGCGAATCTATGCCATCAACTAAATATATAACGAAAATGTTTCCAAAATCCTTCCTCAATCTTTCCTTAAATCCTTCTTCATCGAAGTGTAATGAGGGAGACTGTTAATCAGTATAACAAAACTGGAATGAAAACTAGACGGTCAAAGGAATGATATCCCTGGTCCACAGCATAGAGTTGGTCCACAGAGCCATATGGTCGAAAAGGAGTTAGCCTCATAACTGGAATATCACGGGTTCGAATCCCTCTTTGTACGTGGGTGTAATTTCTCTCTCCACTCCGCCTGTTCTCTTGTTGTTGGAGTGACGTTGAATCATCTATGTGGTACCCATAAAAAAGTCATCAACGATGAAGCAAGTACTTTTTGTTTTGAAAAATAAATTAGAAAGACAGAACATTTCTTCACTTTTGACGAAGTTTATTTCTTCACAGTAGTAAAGACAGTTATTTCGTCATTTTCACAAACTGGTCGCTCGAAGCATGTACCAAGAAATGGTTTCGTCAAAAACGATGAAAGTTTCATGAGATTTGAAAATTTTTTTCTTATAGTACAATGAAAAGTTTTATCAATATTTCAGTCCAGCTGGACTTCCAAATAGCGAAGTGAATTTTCGATTTAATGAACTTTTCTTTGAGATACACTTTCCCTATTTCCCAAAATATATCAGAACATTTCAAACTTGTTAACGCATTGTATGGGGGGAATGATATTGAATTGTTTTTCGTAGCCACTTAACTTTTAGAGAAAGCAGTTAAATCCCTTTCCTTTTTTGTTTGCATTTCAAGTGAAAAACTCAGACAAAATTAACGGATTTTATCAGTAGCAATTAAATTTAACAATGCACGTGGTAATGTATGTTTAAAATTACTTTTGTAATAAATGCAGCTATAATTTGTTACGTAAATTTAGCTTTTTTTAGTTGAAAATGTATGTGGCATGATACTGTAATACTGGATAATGTTTTGCTCTATTCTTGCTTTCCATGCAGATTTCTTACATATAGTGCGGCTTTCAGGAGAACTCCTCCAGACACCCGTCTCGCGTCGTGGCGGGTACTATGGTTACGAGGGATGGTCTCTTCGAATAGGTGTGTGGGGGGAATAGTTTTCTCAATCTTAACCTTAGTGTCTCCATCTTAGCGTAGGTCGTCGTGAGTAAACGAATCGACACCTTTATTCCTCCATTGCACCCCTATTAGAGATGTGCTCTCGCTTGTTACCATAGCAGCAGACAGCCCCAGACTTTCAGTCTGGAGGAGTTCTCCTCAAAGCCGCACTATAGTTAAAATTTATAAAATAAATAGTAGATACTAGTTTCCATATTAAAGGTGTATCAATTGCTATTTCAATTACGTCCAGTGATTATGAATTTAAAACCTGTTTTGCGTTGTTTAAGTATTTAAAAATGTAATTTTCTGTTCAACGAATTTTCCATATAACGAACTTATTATCGGGATTTAGCGACTTCGTTAAATAGAGATTCGTCTATAATTAGAAATACTTTACTGCTTATCAACGTTTGAAACTGATTTAAAGTTCATTGTAAAGAAAAGTGTCTTAATTTTTATTTTTTCAACTTTTCACCATGATGAAAATTTAACAAAACATTTATGTTTAAAAAATTGTTATAATATACAATGTTTTAAATGCTAAAAATAATTTTATTTTGCTATTGATGTTAAAAACAACAGAAATCTCAGAAAAACACAAATCAAAATTTTCATATAATGAAACATTATTTTGAAAAGACATATTGGTTTAACTATTATAAATTATAAATTATTAAAATGCTGAAGAACTTTTTAATTAAAAAAATATGTTTATTAAAAATTACTAAAATTAGCCCAACTTCTTCATTAAATCCACAATTACTTTATTGTTTTACTTTTCTAATGCCAGTTTTTCATGGAAAATGGTTATTAATAATTCAAAGCACACATATATAAAGGATTTTTGAAGCCCTAACTCGCTTCTGAATCAAAGTTCTATAGAACATAACTACAATAAAATATCACATTAAATAGGTGAAATGTAAACATTCATGTCAATTTCCCATTAGACATACGATAATAGTTTTAAGTATCATTTTCTTCACGCTATAACTCTCACGCTAAAGCGAAGTTAAGAAAATATCAGTTTTATAAAAAGAATTGTTTCAAGAAAGTTCGAAGATGATATTCGGTGATGCTTTTTTTCTTACATCGAATTAGGCCATCTTCATATGAAAGACAAAAGTAACCATTTCGAAATTTTCTAACTTTCCAAATTTTTGTCCAGTGTTGTAAAATATAAATTTGCGATATTTGAGGAAGTTTATATTTCTAATTAGCAAATTTCCCATACATCGTTCCATACCATAAAGATTTACATTTAATTTAAACTCAGTTCGCAAACTGGTTTTTCAAAATATTAAATATTTTTTAATAAATAAAAATTATATTTGTTCTTTACAATGAACTTCACTACATCTAAGATACTATAAGAACAATACTTAAAGCACACCTCAATTTGGCGATCAATTTACAATTGAAGCTTTTTTTTTTAAATTTTAAAATGATCTTTATTTTATTATATATCGTCATTCAAGCCCTGCCTTACGGCGAATCGCAAACAATCATTTATCCATTACCTACTTTCAATGCCAACATCGTCGCAATTTTTGTATCGAAATCTGAACTACCATTGAAAATTCAAGCAATGCAAGCAGCTGTCTTTCTTGGCGTAAAAGAGGTCAATCGATTGTATCCAAATATTAATTTCAGTTTAAAACTCAAAAATGACTCTCAGACTTGTTTTACTAACCATGCTGGTGCTTTTGCGGCTGAAGAATTCTACAATAATGATGTAACGGCTTTTATCGGGCCGGCCTGTAGCAAAGCCCTGGAATCGGTGAGCCGAATGTCTTCGTACTGGAATGTTCCGATTTATACTGCTGGTGGAATTGATGCTCAATTTGCAATGAAAAATATCTACACTACTTTGACTAGATTATCATTTTCATCGGAACAAGTTAGCAAATTTCTACTTCAAGTAAGTAAAAAGTCATAAAATTAGCTCTTTTAAAATGTACCTTCGATGTTCTGATGTTAAAATGTTTTAAAAATGTTCCTTCGAATGTTCCAATTTATACTGCTGGTGGAATTGATGTTCAATTCGCAATGAAAAATATCAGCACTACTTTGACTAGATTATCATTTTCATCGGAACAAGTTAGCAAATTTCTACTTCAAGTAAGTAAAAAGTCATAAAATTAGCTCTTTTAAAATGTACCTTCGATGTTCTGATGTTAAACTGTTTTAAAAATGTACCTTCGAATGTTCCGATTTATACTGCTGGTGGAATTGATGTTCAATTCGCAATGAAAAATATCTGCACTACTTTGACTAGATTATCATTTTCATCGGAACAAGTTAGCAAATTTCTACTTCAAGTAAGTAAAAAGTCATAAAATTAGCTCTTTTAAAATGTACCTTCGATGTAGTATAGGATCAATTTCAATCCTAGAATTTACTATCCGTCTTAGATTCTAAGCCAAGTAATACTAAATTTGTTATTGTTTGGTGTGAAATTGCAGATTTATCAAAATAAAAATAAGTTTATCAAAATAATCCTCATAACTATATGCTAGGTTTATCAAAATAATCCTCATAATAATGTCCTAGGCTTATCAAAATAATTCTCAAAATTGCCTGCTCTTGTAGAAAGCATAATCACAGAGTAAATATTTAAGCAATTACGTTTTCTTTAATTTATAACAGTAAGTATTATGACTACGATTGCAAATAACTAGGCAAATCCTACGTAAATATCTACCGTTAAAGACGGCAACAACAAATCCTTTGGTAATACTGAAAAATTGGCTCTGTTAGAGAGATATCAGTTGTTGGATAAAACTAAGGTGAAGTAAAAAAAAAAAATTCGAATTCACAAATAAAATTATGGCATGTTTAAACAAAAAAGCTCTTGTTTGTGTATCTTAACCAACTATTAAATAAATGGTACCAGGTGTAGCATAAAATTTAAATAACGAATTAAGTTTCATAGATTAGTAGGTGATGAATTCGATTATATTATTTGCTTTGACCTACTTCATTTATGGTTCACAAGAGAAACCCAAAAATGCATTTTAAATTTTGTGTTGCATTAAAGAAAGAAAGATTGCAGCAGTTGTTGTGCTTCAGTGATGCTATAAGACAATTCTTGTATCCTAGCACATGTAACTGTGCTAGGATACAGGACTGAAATTTTATATTCATTTCTTTTTGTTAAAGTTGTGTGAGTTTATTTTTATAACAAGTCGCCTTACAAAAATATCTAATACAACACATAAACTTTTATGGTAACAAAATCGAATCGAAGCACAGCAACTTTATTTAATAATATTCCTAAACCCTTCTTCTAATCCTAACACCTTAATTAATTTTAAAAATATCTTAACCAAATTTTTCCCTATCTAGCTATTACCCGAGACTTTGTAATAATTTTAAAGAGATGTCTGTGATATTGTTAAATTTCTTTGTGTATGTAAATTATATGTAATCGTAATTTTATTCAATTTTATATATTATTTTTCTATTAAAAATTTTAGAAATAATTTAAAATCTGTCCGGTAGCCATTAAATCAAACAAACCACGGTAAGTATGCGTTTGAGCCATTTCAATATGGCACCAGAAATATTAAAATTATTTTCATCACTGTCATGACATAAGATAGGAAATTCATCCAATGCTCCATTACGTTCTGTACTACTTCAAAATACAAAATTATTCTAAATAAATACTTGACATACAACTAACTATTCAACACTACTTTACTGTACTACTGTACTTATTCAACACTACTTAATTGTTACTTAAGATAACCTAACAAAATGAACCTAAATAGGTGAATTTAAATAAATACTTCACGTATTACTTATTTTTTTAACTCTACTTAAATTAATAATTAAGACATTCTAACAAAATGAACCTAAATAAGTGCTTCGAGATTTATTTATTTTTTAATACTACTTAAATGGTTATTTAAGACAACCTAACAAAATGAATAATAACTATACTGTTGTCAATAGATAGAGAAATACGCAAGCTTATGGTGCCACATAAGAGAAATTTATGTATAGATTATTGATAATTGGGTGATTTGGAAATGCGTAGTAAAGATGTGTAATTAATAAGATTTTTTGGGGGGGTGTTATTTACAGTATGAAATTGAAAATATAGATGATGCCAGTTGGAACTACAAGCCTAATACGATAACTTCATTTCGAAAATTAATTCAATTCAAATTTATAATAAATTGGACAATGAAGGAATCAAAAGGTCTTTCAATCGTCAGCAAATAAGAAAAAAGATGATCAGATACATGACGAAATATGTATTTAAGAAAATGAAGCATTAAAGGAATCATCTTGGTAGTTTTCAAAATACTGTCCAAAATTTTATAGTTGTTTCAAATAAGTAATTGTTGTAAATGTCTTAGCAAAGAATTTAATAAATGTGCTTATTTCCAAAAGTATGTCATAAATACTTTTCCTTGCCATTAATAAAAATATTTGCTGTTTTTAAAAAAAAGAATAGAAAAAAATACAATCTGTGCAAGGAAAAATATGTATATAATAAATAATATGCATATGATAAAAAATATGTAACTATGTAAATTTAAATATATTTAAATTTAAATATATACAAATTTATAAACGTTTTTTAAATTTATATATTTATATATTTTAAAACGTTAAAAAAATGCATAAATTTAAAAATGTTTAAGAATTTTAGAAAAAATTCTTATAAGAACATACAGATAAATCTAAAACTAATTTACAGTGATAAACAAAAATTTCTTTAAAAAATTATTCTGTGGAGAAAAAGATTCAATTAGCATTTCTGCTTGAGGCGGTGATATCTTATTTGGTGATGTAAACGAGCTTGTCTTCAAAACATAAATTGTTTGCCAAATTTAATACAGCATAATATTTTGTATAGAAATATTCTTTCATTTTCTTAGTAATTAGAATAAATTTTATTAATTTGTTACTTTTCTTACAATAAATTAAAGATATATTTAGGGAGAAAAACATCAATACATGAAATGTGGACAATCAGTTAGGTGATCATCATTAATAATAGCCGTTTATTATAAATATTAATCTGATTTTTTGGGACAATAACAAGGCTGAGATGTATCATTTTTTGAAAATAATTTTTGCACTATTCTCACATTTTCATTGCTGTTAACTTGTACGGCCGTCAGAAAAGATTTTACAAAGTGGTAACGAAATAACTAATGAAGTAGAAAAAAAATTCAAAAATAAAACTGCTACGCCAACACTAAGCATAACTGTCTAAATACTCATTACTTTATGTATGTGTTTAAATTACCGATTTGTTCTAGTGAATAAAACAATTTTTTCACTTTAACCTTAAAGACAAAGATTAAGTTTTAAAAGATAAATGTAGTTGCGACTAAGAAAACTTTACTGCGGTTACCATACAAGTTTTCAGGTATGCATTTTAAAAACTGAAGAAAATTTTTTTTTATCTTCTTATAAATATAACTTATTTCAAGATCTATAATAATTTGAATCTAGATTTTGAAGCAATTTCAATGGAGGCACATGGCTATTCTTGTGGACGATTCACAGTCATCCGAAACCATTCTTCGCCGAAGTTTATCAACTGTAATTCGTGATACTGATTATGAAATTTTCCCAATCTACAAGGAATTTTACTCACCTTTAGAACCTAACTACAAATCCATGTTACGAGATGCTTCAAACGGAGCGAGAGGTAATTTGTATAATATCAAACCGTATTTTTTTTAGTTATTTTTAATGAAGGAATGAATTCCATGAATTAAAGTACGGCCAGTCTCTAATTAAAAACAAATAAACATAGAAGTAAGAAATTTTGAGGTATTGTGCAATAAACAGTTATTTTTCGCATGCTGTTTTTGCTCTGGATGCATCCAGAAAAAATATAAAAGCAGCATAAAGTATGAGATCCAGTCTAAAATATAAAATTTTTAAATAAAGTAGTTCGTTAAAAAAAAATTTTTTTTTATTCGTATTCAAAAGTTTATTAACAATTAATTTAAAGAAGCTTCAATGATGAATAAATGTTTCTCTTAGATCTGAATATCTGAAAATAAGTGCAAATTTAAATAAAAATTAAGATGCAAAAAAAAGAAACCAATGTTTCATGCTTTATTTCATAACCATAAATCATTAAAATGCATAATAAAATATTTTTCGCTTAATTTGAATTAAATTAATCCAAAATAATGAAATATATGTTTAATAAGAATTATGTGCCTTGGTTTTAATCAGAACCCGCCACTAAAAGCCGTACAAACGTATGTTCTTTTTGTTCTTCAATGCATTCATTTTTTGCCTGACTTTACATGCATTTCAAATGCTCTCACGCAAAATGGTCAATTAGTTATAAGTAATCTTTCAGATATCTTACTATCTTCTTTTTTTTAATCTTAAACAGTTAGACTGCTATCGCTACTGTATTTCTAACGACATCTCTATTTCTCTTATAACTTTGAGTTACAATAAATGTTTCAATTTGCTTAACAATGTCATTAAAATGTGTGTTTCTTTTTTATATCTTTGCTATTTTATGCGCTCTACTTTATGAAATCAATTTTTGTTTTATTTTCATTCCAATTATAATGTCAAATAATAAAATTATAATATTAAACATAAAGAGGAAAGACATGGATAGTTAAATGGTTGGAAATTGATCAAAAAATACCAAACATTATTTTTCATACATATTTTAATTTGTATTTATGCATAACTTTAAAACTCTATTTCATAAGTTGCATTGCCTTTGATATTATTACTTGAGAGTGAAGGATAGTTTTAAGCTAATTTTTCTGAAACCTCAAATTCTCTTATTCTATATAAATTATAAATAGAGAAGCTCTTTTTGGTATTTTCTCAAATCCTTACAAAAAACATTTTTGTTATTTATATTTATTATACTGATATTCTTATATTATACTACTAATATTCTTAATAATGCTTATTTCTAATTCCTTATAATATAAATCATTAGTAATCAAAGTAATATTTGAAATGTATAAAAGAAATTGATAAACATAAAAGCATTGGAAAATAAATAGCAAAATAACAAAATTGAAATACAGGTATTATTTTTAAATGCTACTTTTAACTTAATTTTATTTAATTATTTCTTTATTTATTTATCTATTTATTAATCTATTTATTTGCTTATTTATATTTATTCATTAATTTATTTATTTTTTTGCAAATTTGATAGTAAAATTATTTATATACGGGAAAAAGGCGATATGTCTCCTTAAAACCTTTTGTATTTGTTGAAAAATTTTTATGACTGGAATAGATAGCAGATAGAGTACTGCAGATAGAGACTGGAATAGATAGCAGACAAGTATTTTTAACTAGATAAATCATAAAGGAAAAATTTGTTTTTTAGTGTTTTTGCTGTTATCGTGCGGCAGCGTAATACGCGAAATTCTCCTCGCTGCGTACGACTTAGGCATGGACAACGGTGAATTTGCTTTTCTAGCTGTAGAACTTTTGAAAACAGATAACGGCAACAGGTTTTCTTGGTACAAAGAAAACGATACTAGAAATAAAGTAAGTTTTCTTTAACTTTTAATTGTTTTAAATGCTATCTATATTTATACTATATACATTGCAAAACTTTTTCGTGTACTTTAACACGAAAATTGTGGAACTATTTCACACCAAAGTGAGGTTTTACTAAGTGTTTCTCAACAACAAAACCAAGGATCGGTTTAGTAAAACACCTAGAATGTTCTTTTACTCGACTTAGTGTAAAGTAACTGCCATTATGTTTGTTTTCTAGTAACACTAAAATTTATAATTACTGTAAGATATGGTGCATATGAGAATCAGTGAATTTAATTTTACGATGCATTCTAAAACATGAATCATAAATTTAAGATGCATATATACAATATTTGCTAAAAAAATTAGTTTGTTCAATTATACACAAATCACAGGCAGAATATTAATATAAATCAAAAGAAATAATATAAATAGAATTTTAATGCTATAAAATAATTTTATACAATAGATTAAATTATGTAAATCTCATGAGAACTTAAATATCATTACTATACAACTAAAATCATACATTCATTTTATAACAATTAAAATGAGTAGTTTGACAAATCACTTCGGTAAGAAAATTGATATTACCTGGCAAATAATTGACCACAGTTATTGTTTTATATGAATCATTAAAGAGGATTGAAACCTACTTGATATTAGATAAGGTGTAACCAATTTGTTAATCAAATCCGACAAGAAGAACTCCTTTTTCACATCTACACTTCATTTATATTAACTTCCATCGTGGCCACTATATTGTCCCAATTATTCGCTTTTCAACTTCTAATGATGTTACAAAAGTATTTTTATACACTAGTGGGCTGCGCCCCCTGCTCGCTAACGCTCGCCAACCCCGAAAATTGTTACGCAATCTTATATGGTTTGCTTCGCAAACCAAGCTCGTTTCGCTCGCTACTAACTTAGGTACATTGCAAATGCACAAAATTCTAAGAATTCAAAACAATCATTCAAATCCATATAAAAACTTTTTTTAAAAAATTACATCTTTTTAGTAAATACTAAGTCATTAAAATAAATTTGAATTCAAACAAATGACGTGTAATTCGTTAAACCTATTAAAAATGTGCTTTTACTTCTTGCTCGAAAGTATTAACATGACTTTTCAAGATATGAGAAGTTATTTAAAGAGCAAATAGACTCTCTCTCCTTTTAACCTAGAGCAAATAGTTTCTTCTTCAATTACACACATACATGAGCACATGCTCGAGGGACAGAACTTCATCGTACGGATCGAAAAAAGAAACTATGTAGGTAATGGATGTAGGCTATGTAGGTAATGGATAAATATTCGCGATATAAATCAAAAATCGTCAAATAAATTCGTATTACATAAATTCGTGAAAAAAAGCGCTTTCGACAAAATACTAAAATAGAGATCTATCGACAAAGACTACTCACTTCTGCCTAGCTTAATAGTATGAGATTGCCGCA